TTTGGTCTTTAATCCATTTTGAGTTTATTTTTGTGTATGGTGTTAAGGAGTGTTCTAATTTCATTCTTTTACATGTAGCTGTCCAGTTTTCCCAGCACCACTTGTTGAAGAGGCTGTCTTCTCTCCATTGTATATCCTTGCCTCCTTTGTCATAGATTAGTTGACCATAGGTGTGTGGGTTTATCTCTGGGCTTTCTATCCTGTGCCACTGATCTATATTTCTGTTTTCTGCAGATGTTAACTTTTATGGCAAGTATGTCACACAAACGAATTTTTTTTCTTCAAGGTTATTAATCACAAATATTTTTTAAAATGTTTTCTCCCGTATGCGTTAGCTAGGTTAAACCAGAGGAAGCTTATTTTTTCTTTAATTTTTAGTAGGTAATATATTCATAGAGTTCAAACATTTTAAAAGTAGAAAAGGTATACACTAAAATAAATCTCCCTTTCACTCCTGTCCTATTTGCTCAATTACCACCTCGCCCACTCTGCACCTCAAGAAGGAATCACTGTTAATTACTTTCTTGATGATCCTTCTAGTAACTTTGTGTACACACACAAAACAGTCTAGATATATTTATTTTCCCCTCCTGGTTTACATAAATGGTAGCACACTACATATGATATTTTCGTATTTTCCGATGTCTTGCTTTTTTTACCACTTACTCTATATCTTTGAAATTTTCCTGTATCTCTTTTTGAAGAGCTTATTCATTCTTTTTATTCTTTTTTTTTTTTTTTTACAACTCTGTGTATTATAGAGATGGAATTTATTTTACTTTCTCCTTCTTAATGCACGTGTAGGCTTCCAATCTTTTTACTATTACAAACAATGCTTAACAACTAAGTTCATACATACGTCATCTCACATATGTGAGATTTGATCTACAGAATAAATGCTTAGAAAGAAGCTTGCTGAGTCAAAGGATATAGGCATTTATAATTTGGGTAGATACTGCAAATTGTCCTCCCTAAGAGTAATGCAAATGACATTCTAAGCAGCAATCTTCCTGTTCCTCCACAGCACGGCTAATACAGCATCTTGTCCCACTTTTGCAGTTTTGCCAGTCTGTTAGGTGAAAATAGCATCTCAGGACCATTTTAATCTGAATTTCTCTTATTGAGAATGAGGCTAAGCATCTCGTCATACATTTAAGAGCTCTTCATCTTTCCTTTACTATAAACTCTCTGTCACAAATATTTCACCTATTTTTATGAGCTGTGGCCTTTTTCCTCTTGATTCATGGGCGCTCTTTAAATACTCAGGATATTAGCCTATTATCTATAATATAAAGGCAAATCATTTTTCCCAGCTTGTCATTTGACTTTGGTGTTTTTGTCAGCACTAGTCTTCAGTTTAATGTAGTCAAAATTATCAACTTCTCCTTCTGTGATTTTGGGATGGCATGTCATAGTAAGAAACTGTCTTCCCCACCCCAAGAGTATAAAAGAGTTCACACATATTTTCTTCTGGCACTTGCAAGTTTCACTTTTTAGCATCTTTGATCTATTCAGAATTTACCCAGGTGTAAGTCTGTCCCAACAGCATATACTGACTGGTCCATTTTCCTCCCTTCATTTCAGATGCCACATTTATCATACATCGGGGTACATTTCTGGGCTTTTTTTCATTGATGTCTATTCATTTATGTGCCAGTACTATATACTGTTTTAATCACTGAGGCTTTCTCAATTTCTTGTAATATTAAGAGGGATAGTCTCCTTCATGGCCTTTTTTCCCCCAGAATTTCAACTCTTCATATTTATTTTCTGTATACCATGGAACCACCTAGTCCAGTTGTAAAAAACAACATAAAAATCTGTTGGCATTTTTACTGGGCTATATTAAGTTTGTATATTAACTTGAATGGTATTGACATGTTATGATGCTGAATCTTCCCTTCTAAGTACATGGCGCATCTTTCTACTTGCTAAAGTCTACTTCCAGATGCCTGGTGGTTTTTGTTGTTGTTATTTCCTCTAACTGGTTGTTTTTTGTATATTGAAATCTAACATGTGTCCATTAATCTTTTACCCTGCTGCCTTACAGAATTCTTTTATTGTTTAGAGTAGTTTTTTTATTGGTTCACTTGAGCTTTCTGGGTATATCACCATATAGTTTGTAAATAGTGATAGTTTTACATCTACCTGTCCAGTTTTTATACCTCTATAAACTGTTTGTTTATTTCTCTCGTTTAATTTATTTCTCTTGTTTAATTCCATTGGCTAGGGTCTCCAGTACAATGTTAAATAATAGTAGTGGTAGCTGGCTTCCTCATCTTATTCCTGATTTTGGAGGGAATGCTTTGAATGTAAAGATTACTCTCGCCACAAAAATTTTCCTGTAAATAATAAACTTAATTCTGTGATAAAATTCCCTCGGTTCATTTAAAATATGATTCCATCATAAGGAACATCATAAACTCAAATATCTTCAGGCACTAGCAACTGAGAGGGAGTTCTAAGCTCTAGCATCCCTCCACATTTTACTTACTGACAGTTCCTGGGTGAGTTGTCGAATCTTCTGTCTCATTTCATCATAGTCTCCATACATTCGCTTCCTTACATTTTCCAAAGTGGCTCTTACCTGCAGCCCACAAAGATGCTAGTTAGAGATCAAGCTACAATAATAATAATAATAATAAATGCATATTGTGATTATATATAATTATTGATAACTATTAATTATACAAATAACATGCTCTAAAGAAAGATTCGTTTACTGAAATTCACCTGCCACCCTTAAAACCATATTCAGGCCAGATTTTCCCCTTTTCCTATCACATGTTTTTACAAGTAGAAAATGTTGAACAAGTTGACTTTCTAAACACATGGCTAGGAGGACCAAAAAACCAAAAAGCAAAAGCTACCTCTAATTTTCCCTATCTCTGCCCTGACTGCCAAAGAACAAATAAATGTTTGGAATATGAGTCAGGAAAGTATGAGCTTAGAGAGCCCGTAAATGTGAAATTCAGTTCCTCAGTAATCACCAACAATACACAAGGCACTAAATATAAGAAAAGTCAGTTGATCCCCCAAACACCTGTTTATACAAACTCTTTAAATTTCTCTACAGTACCACTTCCAGAGGAGTAACGGGGCCTTAAATATATTTTCAATAAAAACAAAAAACCTAACAAATAGTCTCTGTCTTCCCCCTTCTTCTGGTGCCCCTAGGAGGATGAAGAACTCAGGGATCCTGGAATAGAACAGGAAGCCTCAAGGGAGCCCTCTCCAGAATGCTCTGGAACTTCTATCACAGGAAAGGCTCAAAGGCAGGAGTTTGGTTTGACGGGCGTGTAGGGCACAGCATGAGTGGACCTAATTTTGAAGCCGTACTTGCACAACTAGCACGTTGTTTTAAACTGACTGACTGCATGTTTATTAGGAGTGACTGGATATTGGTGGAGATTCCAGGGCAGGAAAGAGAGGGCAAGTCAAGACACCACGCCCTCCCCAGATGAATTCTAGTAATAAAGACTGCTTTCTTGTCATTGACTACAAACACTTTGGGGAAATGAGCCAAAAGCACAACTTTTCATTCTGGGCAGGCAGAATGGCTCTCATCTGTGGCCCTGAGTTAGCTCTTGGGCTGCTCACCATTGGGAAGTGGGTGGAGCTGGGTGTTGCTCCCACTGGCAAATACTGCAGGAAGCCAACTAAGCCAGAGTCACCCACAAGCAAGGGAGGGCACACAAACCCATAAATACACTCAGGAATGAGGAGCGAGTGACAGGTCTGAAACCAGCTATAGAAGGTGTTTACCCGGAAATTAATTTTAAGTTGCAGATCACAGTGGCGGTTGGGAAATTCAGATCAGTTACTCCCCTGTGACCTGGGCACCCGACAGCCTGAACCTACTATCTTGTCTTGGGCAATCTGCGACTCTCCAATCTGCTTAGAAGGTTTACCTCTGAAGTGGTGCCATGTTATTTGGGCATTTCAGTGAGGAAGGCCTAAGCATTTCCATGAGAAACATACAGGAAACTAGGAAGGTGCAAGCTGTTCCTACCTAGGAAAATGAGGAATGGGATACTGTGAATGGTTAAAACTGATCTTTGGGGGTTGGATGACTGGGGCTCTGAGGCTGGTGGTTGTCACACATCTTCTGCCTGTTTGTGTATGAGTATAGCTCCTTTTCTTCATTTTCTCTGCTAAGCATTTATTGTCTTTTTTATTCCTTAAAATTATACAAGTATCCAAATCTTTCGAGACACATTAAGAAATGCACATTTATTATTTTTGATATTTGATAAAAGATGTTCTTCTCAAAAACTCAAACAAAAGCTGACAACGTGTGTTTTGTGTCTTATTTGCAAACACAACCAAATAAAATGAGGCACAAAGAACTCGTTTTGACCGTAAGGGTCCCTTCCCAGACCTCACAATCTATACATGAGAAAACTGAAGCCCAGACAGGGCAAAAGTTTGTCTGGGCCAAAGAGCCAGACCTTGAACCAAGATCCATGGGGACTCTATTGCCCACGCTGCCCCTGCTTCTCACTTTCTAGTCCACAGGCCAGTGTTTTGGTGCAGCTCATTGCCTCTCTATCTAATCACTCTGGTTTGGGTCACAAAGGCACTGGTCAATCTAGGGAGACACGGGGTGGACCAAAAAGGAATGGAAATGATGGATGGATGGATGGAGGGACAGGTAGGTAAGTCGATAGATATAGATAGATAGATAAAAAAGAAATGAAAAAATTACAAGGAAATGCTCCAAAATGTTAACAACTGTTCTGGTTGAATCGTAGAATTACGGGTGATTTTGTTTTCTTCTTCTTACATGTTTACATTTTCCAAAATTTCTCAATAGACCATATAGTTTAAAAGAAACGTAATATTCAGTCCCTGGTCAGGGAACTAAGATCCTGCAAGCCATGCAGCATGGCAAAAAAAAAAAAAAAAGTGATATTAATTACAAAAAAATTGTATTAATTGACCTGGGTTGGACAATGTCTACCATGGTTGACTTTCCACCATCCATTTCAACCTAACTGATTGCTCTGAACCAGCAATAGTCATCCTATTCCCCTTGCCAGTGATGGATTTGGGAACGGGCATGTGACCTGGGTCCTGGCCAATGAGAAACAAGGGGAAGTCTAATGGAGGGTCTCTATAAAGTAACCAGAGATGACTGTCCTCTTTTCCTCCTCCAGACACCATCATATTTTTAGATGTTGCCATGAGCATGAGGCTGAAGGAGAAAAGAACCCAGGGAAACTCAGAGAAATAGAACTGGAGCTTGGAGAGGCCTGCTTAGAGCCCACCTACCCCTAGAGTTACCCCCACATGAGACAAATTCCTTTTCAAGTTGGCTTTTCCGTTACTTGCAGCAAAAAGCATCCAAATTAATACAGTCGTCCAAACTTGTACATTAGGAGTGTTCAATGTAATAAGCAAAACTACTTAAGAGCCTACTTATCATACATGGAAGAAAGAAGCCATTTGGTCTCCTGAGTATCCCTACTTAGTAACATCTAGAAATTCACTCTATACCTCACTGCAGAATTACATCTGCGCTTTTCCTATTACCATGAAGATCTGTAGCCACATTTCCATCCACAATGATAACACTTAGAATTGTTCCAAAATGCCTTATTACATTCATATCAATGCTTCCAACTCCACCCTCTTACATGCTCCAAGAAGTGTAAAAACCAGAAAACAAAAATCCTTAAACAGCTCACGTCTTTGATGTAGTTCATCTCTTCTTTCAGCTGATTGGTGGTCCACCCATACACCACCATTTCTTTCTGCTGGTTTTGATCTGATCTTCGTACCACACCATAGACAACACCCTGAGGGAGTTTCATGGTGGGTTCCCCATTGCTCAGGTCACGATACTAAAAGAGGATAGAAAGAGAGAAAGAATAATGACTCTTTAGGCCTCGTAGAGAGGGCTGTCATCGTGGGCCCACTGTATATGGTTATGCAGGTTGTATCCAGCACTAGGGGGCCTGGCAGTGGGGAGAGCGGCCAGTAGAAATCCAGCCTGGCCTCTGCTTGCCAAGTCACACCTGGCGTGGGCTGAGCCTGCCTTTACCCTCGAGGAATAGCACCTTTCCCTAATTTCTACCAAAGCTCTGTTCCTTTACCTTGTAGTACATATGCCAGGCCCCATCTTCCCAGAGAAGGTGCCTTTATTTAATTCTCACAAAGGCGCCAGGCGGACTTACGCCATCCCTGATAACAAGAGTGTCTAAAATCTCGCATTCTTGGTAATACTGTTTTTCTCTTTATACCAGTTCCTCTGTATGACTGCATCCTCATCATTAACTGTGTGGCCTGAAATGCATGAGGTTGAGATACGCAAGGGAAGAATTTTGGCAGCCATCTGGCAGCCAGATTGTCCTCTGAGGTTAGGTCTGACCCTGGAGCCAATTCTGAGGAAAGGGGATAGGGACACCTGTTGTGACCATTCATGAAATATTTCTGGAAAGCCAGGCAGAGGTGGCATAACTTCACCCCAAAAGAATCTTCTGCTCCTTAACTCACTCAGTTAAAGCTCTGATCAGTGCTAAAGTGCAAATACCTTTGGGAAGTGGGGAACATGTCCAAGTCCTAACACATCTTCACAGACTGAAGGCTCAAGAAGCAGGAGAAAGAGAAACTAAGATTTGTTGAGCACCTACTATAAGCTAGAAATGTTCCTTATACGTTTAATCTTCACAACGACACCGTGACATGGTGAATGTCCTCTCCACTTTATAGCTGAGAAAACTGAAGTTCAGAGAGGTTAAGTCTCTCCCTTATGGTCACACATCTAGATTCAAGCCCAATTCTGTGTGACACTAAGTACACCTCCCCACAGTGCAGGCTTTGTTACATGTAGAGGCACAGAGTAGGCCTTCACAATATGGAAGGGACAGGAAAATCTCAAGATGAGACAGTGAGACTTCAGAGAAAAACCAGCCTACATCTAATCTTCCTTGGGACAATGCCACAGAAGGCTGAATTCCATTATGGCAACTCTGTTCTTTCACTAATTTTAAAACCACCTTTGCGGGCTTCCCTGGTGGCCCAGTGGTTGAGAGTCCACCTGCCGATGTGGGGGACACAGGTTCGTGCCCCGGTCCGGGAAGATTCCACATGCCGCGGAGCGGCTGGGCCCGTGAGCCATGGCCACTGAGCCTGCGCGTCCGGAGCCTGTGCTCTGCAACGGGAGAGGCCACAACAGTGAGAGGCCCACATACCGCAAAAAAAAAAAAAAAAAAACCCACCTTTGCATAAACTCTTTCTATGCACTTGCGAAACATCTTTGACATATAAAACTATAATTTGCATTTTAAAATCATTCATTTGCAGAATAGTAAGTACTTTATATTCCCATTCAGTCAAAGTTTGTAAAAGTAAAGCAAAGTTACCAGACAAATTATTAATCATTAATGACCTCTAAGGAAGGGACAGTGGGGAGGGGCAGGGATGCTGGAGGAGAGGATGACTTCAATTTTTTCTTTATACCCTTGTGTATGGTTTGTTTACAATGTGAGCTTTTTAAAAAAAATTAAGACAACAAAAGAGCCATTGCTTCCCACTCTTCTGTACAAACCTGTTAAGAGAGAAAATATGAGGAGTGGGCCACTCTGCATTTGCTTCTGGAAAATGCTTCCACTTGAGCCCCTCATACCTGGGTCCCACGGGCACTGAGGCAACTCTTGAAGTTGGTACCTAAGTTTAGGTGAGTGGGGGGTTAAATGGCTCTCAGTGGAGTGCAAAGCTGGGATTAGATATCCCTGCTTTACTACACATTTAACTAGGAAGAGGAAAAGCTCTAATGAAACTCCCCACATACCAGGAAACAAAAGCATGCTCTTTCTGTCACCAACTCCACCCAGTTCCTGAAAAACAAGCTGATGTCGGCAGGTGGACTGGCTTACAGGAAAATGCTCAGGTGGCCGGATACAGAGGACTCTGCCTCCCTGCCCACGCGGGGAGATGAGGTCCATCACTGACAGAGGCAAATACAAACATGCCAAGGACAACACAGTCTGTGAAACACCACCCTGGAGGTCGTGGATCTGAAAATTATGCACATGGAAAGATACCAAAGTTCTGTTAAGTAAAAAATAGTAAATTTCATATTCCCATTTTTTGTTTTAGAAGTGTGTGTTTGAGTATATAAAACACCTAGAAAGATGGACTCCACACCGTTAATGATAGTTTCCTCAGTGAAAAAGGGGATTTCACTCTTCCCTTTATGCTCTTCTCTATTCTATTCTTTAACTAGTTTGAAATAACAGGCATTATATTTGAATTGATCATTTTTATTTTAATTTTCAAAACATGAAAACTAAAAAATTATTACAAGGTCAGGGTCTAAATGACAGACCCACAGGGAAGGGCCCAGCACAGGACTCTGCTCAGAGGCAGGGCCACCAGCATGGGCCGTCCCACAAGGACAGGATTCCTGAGGCAGCGCGAGGAGCTGCTGGGCTGTGATGCGGAAAGGGAACGGATGGTTATGGAGAAAGAGAAGGGGAAAATATTTGTTGCCTAGCCATTTTATTATACAATATTTAATCCTCACAGTAACCCTACTGTGTAAACATTACTCTTTCTTCCAAGGTGGTAGCATTCAAGTGCCTGTGCATGTCTTTCCAAATCTAGGCCCTTTCCTTAACCAGAAAGCCTTCAGGATAGCTAAGAGGAGAGGAATTGGAACACACATGTCCCTGCGACCCACAGACCTCAGGGCTACGGGAGCCAAGAGCCGGGCCCTCAGGTCCAGGGCCATTGGGAGGAGACGGGCCGGGATGGGAGGCTCTTCTCCAGCCTCCTGGCATCCATCTCCCTGGCCCCCACCACCTCCTCTCTGTTCCTTTATCAGCCAACCTCCTTCTTTTTTTTTTTATTTTTATTTTTTGGCGGTACGCAGGCCTCTCACCGCTGTGGCCTCTCCCGTTGCGAAGCACAGGCTCCGGATGCGCAGGCTCAGCGGCCATGGCTCACAGGCCCAGGCGCTCCACGGCACGTGGCATCTTCCCAGACCGGAGCACGAACCCGTGTCCCCTGCATCGGCAGGCGGACTCTCAACCACTGCACCACCAGGGAAGCCCAGCCAACCTCCTTCTTGCCTCAGGCATTTACACAGGCTATTCCCTCTGCCTGCAGAGCCCACTGCTGGGCTGAAACGTCCTTCCCTCAAGGTCATCTGCACTGACCCTTCAGACCGTCAGGGCGCCACAACACTTCCCACAGTCGCGACGGGGTGACTATCAGCATCGTTACTATATGTGAGGCCTGCTCCCCTACCAACTGGAAGTTCCCAAAAGTCTAAAGTCTTGTTTGTCTTTTCCACCATAATCCCTGGCATCTAACAGTGATCACCACTTAAGGAGTTTCCCAGTGAATACTTGCTGAATGAATAGGGGGCTTTAGAAACTGGAAGAGGTTCTGGGGAATTACCCAGAATATGTAAATATGGTCCCCTGAAGAGAACATCCTTTGTTCCTCTTAGATGGAGGGACAGGGAGATGATATTTGTCCCAATCATAAAATCTATATCCAGAAAATGTTGCAAAGGAGCTGACGCTGCTATCATTTTTATGAAAGGTCGGTGTGATTTTGGTCAAAAACTGGAGGACCCAGAAGAAAATGAAAAGAGCTGACAGGTTTGGCACTGTGTTTGTAGCTAAATTTTTCTCCTCTTGTGTCCTTTACTCTCCCCATAAGATAAATGTTAATTTTTAGGCATGATAATAGCATTGTGATTACATTAAGAGATAATCTTTATCTTTTAGAGAAATATGCTTAAACTATTTATGATATCTGGGATACAGGGTGGAGGAAGTGGACAGGGGTGGAGACGGGGCAGGACTGACTATGGGCTGAGGGTTGTCAGCTGGGTGAAGGGTCCATTATTCCCCTTTTGTTTATGTTTGAAATTCTCCATAATTAAATGTTTTTTAAACTTCTTTACAATGCTGCTCTGTATTTAAAAAAATCAAATTTTCAAAAATGTACACTAGGCCTATGAAAAGCCTCCTGGGCATGAAACAATAGTAGGGTAAAATCGCCTTGCAAACAAAAGTCCTAATAAATGCGCGGAATGAAAAAGTTATCGCCAAAGAAGGGAAAAGGAAATGATCAGCTGAAAGAGCATCCCAAATCCCTCTGTGCAATGCCGCAGAATTAACAACAGGCACCATCAGTAAACTATACAGAGAATGTCTCCGTGAAACTGTTCCCTGGGATGTATGCACAGCTTAATACTTACTTACATTACAGGCTCATGCTATGGCTGTTTTCCCTAAAGATACACTTGGTGGCAAGTGCCTTAGAAAAGAAAAACTATAGAAAAGTAACCCAGCCTCAACTCCTGCTGCAAGGGTTTTACTGCTGAGGGAGAGCTGGGGTACGAATCCAGTGACAGATGACCATATTTTCCAAACCCTAAATCAGAATATAAGATCTTACAATGAGATAAGCTCTATAGAGGCAGAGACTGTATCTGCCGTAGTCACTGCTATATCCCCGATACTTAGTATAAATAGATGCTCGGTAAGTACATTTTGAAGCCAAGAAGAGAGAGAGAGAATATTTGGAATTGTGCTTAGGCCAGAATATTTGGAGTATGTGGTCATCCTAGACACTGATCTGTGCAAAGGAAGAAAATCCCATGGTCAAGAAGGGTTCTTAGAGAATAATACCAGAAAGCACAGTTTTCCAAAAATCCAAATTGATGGTAGTAGAATGCCACAGTCAGCCCCTGACCCCAGAGGCTAGGACAGGCAGCTGGTCACACGTCCAGCTGCCAATATGACTTAGATGGACCGTAACATGGATTGACTGACTTGAAAGCTATAAGCCAAGTTATTTCCAAAACTTTTTGTTTGGGACCTCT